CACTGAGCCAAAGCGGTTAGGGCGCATTTCATATTTTTTATTTCAGACTGATTAAAATAATAAATCTCAAAAAACTGATCAAAAGGTTAAATCAACAAAAAATGCTTCTTCCATTCAGGAACTCTATTTAGATGATGTAATTATAATTTGTAACTTAAAGTTCAATTTTTCAGCTCTGTAATTACAGAAAAACAATTACAGTGTTATGCAAAGCAACAGTAAGTGCTAATGTTTGACAAACCAAGTCACTTATTTAAGTGATTTTTTTAAATTTAAGAATGTCCTATCCTAGAAGAAGGGCTGTAGCCATGTCTCTTTGCTTTTTGAAGAGTTTGGTGTCCTATCTTGAAACATATAGCGAGAGAACAGTTTAGTTGCTCTCATGTTTTCCTCTCTGACTACATCCTCGTAATTGTTTGTGGGTAGATTATAAAAATACATAATGGTATAACCCCGTGTTAATATAAAGCCAGATTACCTAAGAAGGTCAAATGTTTGAACAGTCATTTCCTCTACAACAGTTATAGCTTAAACCCTTAACAAATTTGTTGTAATTCATTATAGTTTTGGTCAAATTTGTTGTAATTCATTATAGTTTTGACATCCTTTGTATTTTGCATGAGAAGCCTAGAGTTTGGGTTCAGCTGAAATATTAAAATATCTAAAACATGTATTCGATTACTTCTGTGAAACATTTATTTTACAAACAATACCATCAACTAGCAGAAGCCTATTGGTTTTCCCAGAAAACATATAAAATTATTGTATATCTGCCTCTAGAATTATTTTCCAAACTCCATTGCTGTGTCACTTAAATAGTAAAATAATTCTGATTATCTGTGAGAACTGTACTTTCTTGGGTTCTGAGATCCTCAATCCACTTTATCTGGTCAGTTGTTTCTCAGACTTTTAAGGAAGCATCAGTATCACCTTGAGGGCTTGTTAAATACAAATTGCCCCTCTTTACCTCCACCTCCTCCCCAACCCCAGATGCTGATTCTCTAGGCCTGGAGTTCAGCCCAAGAATTTGCTTTTCTAACAAGGCCCCCTTTTGCTACTGATGCTGCAGTCCGATGACCACAGTTGTGAACCACTGATCTTAGCCTTTTTTGCAAAATTGGAGTAGGGTCTATGTGTGCAGTAGGATGATAAGGGAAATATAAATCTGGACAGGTGTCCTATACACCTGGTGTTTCCAGATCCTCTCAGGATACTCTATTCCTTTTTCCCTCCACATGCCTTCATGTTCCCACAGAGACAACAGCATTCAGTTTGTATAAGCCAATGGTTGGCAAACTCATTAGTCAACAGAGCCAAATATCAACAGGACAACGATTGAAAATTCTTTTGAGAGCCAAATTTTTTAAACTTAAACTATATAGGTAGGTACATTCTTATTAACTTAATTAGGGCACTCCTAAGTTGGCCTTTGCTAAAAATGCCCTCAGTCTGATTGAGGTACGTTTGCTGAGGTCGACCCCTTCCAACTCTCCCATCCAAACTCGTCTTGTATACTTGTTTCGCCCAGGCCGAAAACCGACTTCTGCGCATGGGCCACGAAGTTTCAATCGCACAGTATGTGCACACCCACACGTGGTATTTTTTGGAAGAGCCACACTCAAGGGGCCAAAGAGCCGCCTGTGGCTCTCGAGCCGTGGTTTGCCAACCACTGGTATAGACTGAAGCAAGGAAAACAATCAGCAACTGTATGTGAATTTTGTTCCTTTTTATAATTAGAGTTGTAGAAGAGGAGAGATAGGCTTTAAAAAAAAAATACCTTCCACTGATGGGTAGATATTTTTGGGAAGCAGATAATTCCTTTTTTTTTTTTTAATAATTATTGTTGAAAGTATTACATGTGTCCCCTTTCCCCCGCCATTAACCTCCTCCTGCCTGCCCCAGGCCCCCGCTGCTCCATTGTCTGTGTCCATGGGCCATGCATATATGCATACAAGGTCCTCGGTTGATTACTTTCTGCCCTCCCACCCTCCCCTGCCTTCCCTGGGAGATTCCGCACTCTCTTCTATAGGAAAGCAGATTATTCTTTATTATCAGATAATTTTCTAAAACATGTAATTGTCAGGCAATAGCATTACTTTTATTTTTAATCCTCATTGGTGGATATATTTTTATTGATTTTTAGAGACTGAGGAAGTGAGGGGGGGGGAGAAACATCAATTGATTGCCTCACGTACCCATCCCAACCAGGGATGAAATCTGAAACCATTTGGTATACTGGACAATGCTCCAAACAGTGGATCCACACAGCCAGGGCAATAACATTACTTTTATTATAAGACCAGAGGCCCGGTGCATGGATTCTTGCACCAGTGGTGTCCCTTGGCCTGGCCTGTGGTGATCGGGTCGAAACTGGCTCTCCAACATCTCCCCAAGGGGTCCTGGATTGGAGGAGGGCAGTTCTCTGGTGACACACCCTGGAATCAGGCTCTCTCCTCTCTGGTTCCGGGTGCGTCACCCAAGAACAGCAGCTGCCAAGTCACCGCAGCTCTGCAGCTCCTGTGTTGAGCACCTGCCCCCCTGGTGGTCGGTGTGTGTCATAGCTACCAGTCTGAGCATCTGCCCCCTGGTGGTCATTGCTACCGGTCAAATGGTTGGACAGTTGCTTAGGCTTTTATATATAGGTAGTGTTTGCTGCACTGAAGCTCTTAGCAGTTAAACCAGCTTGTTACCAAGTCCTTAGCCAGGGAAAAGAGGAAAAGTCTATAAAGGAAAATCTATTAGTTATTGGACTCCTCAGCAGAAACTCTACAAATTAGAAGAGAGTAGAACCAAATATTCAAACTACTGAAAGAGAGAAGTTACTGGCCTTGAATAATATATCCAGCAGAGTTATCCTTTAGATATGAAGAAGAAATGAAGACTTTTCCAGACATACCAAAGATGAGGGAATTTATCACCAGAAGCCTTCCATTGCAGGAAAAACTCAAGGGGGTTATTGTACCTGAAACAAAGAACAAAATGTCACAAAACCACAAGTAAGATCATCAACAAACTTACAGCATAAACAGGGATAATTTGTGACAACAGAAACATAAAAGGGGATGGATAAAGGACCGAATTTGCAAAGGAGAATGGAGCCCAAATGCATTCAAAAGAAAAAGGACTGCTGTATATATGACACTTACTTTTTCATAAACTTATTGGTAAACACACATACACACAAAAAACTGAGACACATAACTTAAAAAAAGTGGAAACAGATGAAAAAAGTATGGAATACTGCCAAATAAAACAACAGTTGGAAACACAAAGGAAAAAGAACCAATGTAGGCACAGAGCTACCAGAAAACAAAAGATAGAATGGCTATAGGAAATCCTCATACATCAGTAATTACCCTAAATATTAATGGACTGAATTCACCAATAAAAAGGCACAAAGTAACAGATTGGATCAAAAAAACAAAATCTAACCATATGCTGCCTTTAGGACACACATCTAAGCTGCAACCATAAAAATAGGTTCAAAAGGATTCTCCAAGCAAATAGCATCAACAGAAAAGCAGGTGTAGCCATACTTATATCTGACAAAATTAAAATCCTTTTTTTCTCCTCTTTTCTTTTTTTACATTTCCACTGTTCCTGGAACCTTACAGAGATCTGCATCATATTTTACTTGAACTGTAATTTCAGTATATTCTTAGCTTATCCTCTTCGTAGTCCAGAGTTTAATTTCTTTAGGTGTCTCTTCTCAAAATGATTGTTTCAAATTTCCCTCATAACCTAACTCCACCATCCACTTAACAGTTTATTCATTAGATTTAATGAGTTCCTAACATGTATCAGGCTCTGTGCTCAATTGTGGATACTGTTTGGATGTCGGAGATTGAGGGGAAAGTACATTCACTACTTCCCTACCCCTTCAAATTTTCAATTACTTCTTCTTTGTTTTTAAATTGATTTCAGCCCTAACCAGTTTGGCTCAGTGGATAGAGTGTCGGACTGCAGACTGAAGGGTCCCAGGTTCGATTCCAGTCAAGGGCATGTACCTTGGTTGCGGGCACATTCTCGGTGGGGAGTGTGCAGGAGGCAGCTGAATCGATGTTTCTCTCTCATCGATGTTTCTAACTCTCTATCCCTCTCTCTCCCTTCCTCTCTGTAAAATATCAATAAAATATATTTAAAATAAATAAATAAATAAATTGATTGATTTCAGAGAAGGGGGGGGAGAGAAAAACATCAATGATGATAGAGAACCATCAATCGGCTGCCTCCTGCGCACCCACCCTGGGAATCAAGCCCACAACCCGGGCATATGGTCTGACCAGGAATCAAACAGTGATCTCCTGGTTCATAGGGTGCCGCTCAACCACTGAGCCACCCTGGCTGGGCACCTTAATGGCATTTTAATTTTTTTAAGAGTTTATTTTAGTCAAACTGGTGACATATACCAGAGAACAAGATCTCAAATGCTCCTAATTGGCTTTTTTAAAAAAATACATTTTTATTGATTTCAGAGAGGAAGGGAGGGGTGAGAGGGAGAGAGACATCAATGATGAGAGAGACATCATTGATGGGCTGCCTCCTGCTTGCCCCCACTGGGGATCAAGACCGCAACCCGGGTATGTGCCCTTGACCAGAATCAAACCTGGGACTCTTCAGTCCGTAGGCCTACGCTCTATCTACCGAGCCAAACCAGCTAGGGCCTTAATGGCATTTTTAAATGGTCATTTTAAAAGGTTTTAAGCAGTAAACCTTTTGTGATTCAGTTTTCTTATATGTAAAATGAAGATTAGGGGTAATGTGAAGATTCAGTACATTAATACATGAAACTGACTGCTGTTAGTTTAAGATTTCTAAAGACGGGGAACAAATTAAGTATCTCAAATATGTTTTTCAGCCTAAAGAATCTCTGAAAATATGACTATGGCTTATAATACCCACTATTCTTATTCACCTCTCTCCTAAGAGGATTACCTCTAAACTGTTGAGCATAATAAAATGTTAAGTATAACACTTGACACAGTATTTTATTTTTGCAGATGTTCTCAAATAGTGATGAAGCTGTAATCAATAAAAAGCTTCCCAAAGAACTCCTATTACGGTAAGTCTGAATGCTAATTTCATGTTTGTGTGTGTGTGTATGTGTGTGTGTATCATATTTGTCTATTTAAAAATTTATACTTTTCCTATATTAGTAATATCTGGATTATCTGAATTTATAAATTTATTGTTTTTTTTGTTAAATAATCTTGTCTTTTCTAGATATAAATATTTTTGAATGTTTAATCTAGAAAACTTTCTCCTACCCAATTTGAACCTATATATGATTTTTTTTACTCATTATCCCTTTGCCCTATTCTTGTAGATAATGTAAGAGATAGCATATTTTATTTTAGTATAGTACTGATTTTTTTTGAAGAGTGATTTTAATCCATCCCTTCCCCATACTTACATTTGCAACGAAATATTACATATACTGAGGTGCTGTATAGAAGAGTTACAACCCTTTATTTTACTGATAGAAAGGCAAAAGCTATTTGAGACTCTTTTCTTTTCCTATATTGCACTTATAATATTACCTTTCTTACTTTTAATGTTTAGAAAGTACATTTGGGGTCACCCATAATATAAAACACACAGCTCCTAATTTACATACCTGACTTAGGAATCACCTAGGAAGAAACAGGCATTAGGGAAGTTAATTTCAGTATCCATTATTTGGGCACTTAATCACACCATTCTTTGTTCACTTATGTGAAATACCATGACTGAGAAAGAAAGGTGTATTCTCACTTGCAATTGTAAGAAGCTGTTATTTGTGCTTAGAGGTATCACTTCTTGTTCTTAGCTTGCTACAAAGTCTAGCCAGCCCATAACCAGCCCATCCCTGCTTTAGAATTTATATGTCTTAAGTCCTCCACTATATTGTAAGATCTCTGTAAACGGGACTATCTATATATATAAAAACCTAAGCGACCGTCCGACCATCTGACTGGTAGCTATGACGTGCAATGACCATCAGGGGACAGACGCTCCAACCAGTAGCTATGAAGCACACTGACCACCAGGGGGGCAGACGCTCAGTGCAGGAGCTGCCGAGCTATGGTGACTTGGCAGCAGTGGTTCTCAGGTGACACACGTGGAACCAGAGAGGAGGGAGCCCAATTCCGGGGTGTGTCACCCGAGAACCGCCCTCTTGCAATCCGGGACCCCTCAAGGGATATCAGAGAGCCGGTTTCGGCCCAATCCCCACAGGCCAGGCCGAGGGACCCTGGACCTCTAGTATCCTATAAATATTTATGTAGTACCTTACACATTGGAGATACTAAGAAAAAATAACGGAATTGAACTTGGAATGAGTTTTTCCCTGGAAGCATTGCTTATGTACATGCTGGTTGACTAAAGCTTAAGATAATAGCAATACTCCCTTGACTGCCCAGGGCCATTGGAGAATATACAATCCTAAATATATTAAGTAATGTCTTGAATATCCCTCACATTTCAGCAAAATTTTAGCTATATATTTTTAGGTAGGTTATGTTCTTAATTGCTGTTGTAAGCCGAGTATACTAAGGCATTCTTTAGGGTTTTTTATAATGACATTTATTTGACTGCTCAGTGTTACATTGTATTATTGTAGTTTACGTTAAGACTCACTAAGATTTAGGGAAATTACTTGACTCCTTGTTAACTGGCCGCACCATATGTGGCTTATGTTTTTCTGTTTTTGCCATGAAACCCAAATTTCTTACTATGGTCTACAAGACCCCTCATGATCTGGCATTATAGTTTAAATTGACTGCTTTCTAACCTAAACAGGAAACCTAACTACCAATGATTTCTGTGGGGAAATGAGCTTGAGTTCCAAATAGTCGATTCTGTACTTCCTGATGGGAACAAGTCCCTTCCTAAATTGGAGACAGTGAAATTGATATCTTGAGAAGGAAGGAAATGACTAGATACCATAAAACATACTACTTATGAATGCATTTAAGCATATAAAACATCAGTTTTGTTTAAAGCATTAAGATAAATAGAAAAGAGGCTTTTTTGATATCTTTGATATTACATCAAGCAGATAATTGATCAATATAAATGTTAATAAGTTCAATTTGGGTATTTGTAATTTATTGAATATGATATTTCCTAAAGTTTAAATTTTGTTTAGAGAATACAGAGCATGACCAGAAACAACAGATGCCCTGGGAAGGAAAACTGGATAACTGGAAGATAGGAATAGAAGGAAAGCTTACTTTTTATTAGGCTTTTTTGTATCTTTTAGCTATTCTTATTTGAACTCTTCATTTTGAAATAGTTACAAAAAGCTACAAAAATAGTTTTGAGAATACCCTTCCCTAAGAACTGAAATTTTATATAATTAAACAATATAGTTATCAAAATTAGGAAATTAACACTGATATAGTACACTTAACTAATCTACAGACCTATTCAAATTCCTCATTGTCCCGATAATATCTTTTATTCTTGCCCAGGACCCATTCCAGGATTAGACATTCCATTCAGTTGTGTGTCTGCTTAGTTTTCTTTAATCTGGGACAGTTCCTTAGTCTTTTTATTGTTTTCATAATCTTGATACTTTTGAACTGTTACTTTATAGACTCCCTCAATTTGGCTTTGTCTGGTGTTTCCTTATGATTAGGTTATGCACTTTGACAGGTATATTACAAAAATGGTGTTGTGACCTTCTTCATGTATCATAATAGGAGCCACATACGTTAATATGCTTATTACTGGTGATATTAACTTTGATCACTTAGTTAAGATAGTGTTTTTCTGTTTCTCCACTGTGAAATTATTTTTCTTTGTTATTGATAAATATCTTGTGGAGAGAGATATTGAGACTATATAGGGGTTCTGTTAAAATACAGTTTAAACCCTAGCTGGTATTACTCAGCGATTAGAGTGTCAGCCCCTCACACCGAAGGGCCTCAGGTTCGAATCCTGGTCAAGGGGCACCCAGACCTAGTTGGGTCCATGTGGGAGGCAACCAATCAATGTGTCTCTCTCTCCCTCCCTCTCTCCCTTCCACTTTCTCTAAAAATCAATGAAAAAAATATCTTTGGGTGAGGATTTAAAAAAATACAGTTTAATAAATATTGTACAGCATTTGGTTTGGTTAGATTTTAAGTTACATCATACACCATTGATTCCAGCATATATTAACTTACACGGAGGACAATTGTGTTCTTAGGACCCTCCTATTTCCTTGTAAATGCAAGGCCACAGCCAAGTTACCAGTGAATTAAGCAAGTGTTCTTGTTTCCTCTTAACTTTAACTTACTGATTCTCTTCCTTCCCTTTTAAAACAAAGTTTATTATTAATGTGGTAGCAAGCTGGAATCCACTGTTTGCATAATGTGAAATCAGTTAGCAGAATTGACTGTATTCCCTTTTAGAGCAGAGCCATATGCATTTATTTAGGAGGGCCTCTTGTTAAATGAATGTCAGTGTTTATAAGACAAAGAGTCTTGTGTATTTTCCAAGAGCTACTGTAAAGTGATTTGTTCCTCAGAGATTTCCTCTGAAGATGATATTGACAACTGTAAAAGTGACATGAAGGATAAGGCTGCTTGAGCCCACACATGCCCTTTTAGCTATGAAACAAGTTAGCTATGAAAGCAGTTTCAGAATGAGGATTATTATTACTTTAAAGAATTTACAATATTTTTCATTATTTTTTCAACTGTTGGAAGTGTTAGGACATAATTATCATGTAATAGTAGATACTATGTGTGTGTGAATTGGTAGAAGAGGGGAGTGATGGAAAGATAAGAGAGAGATTATTGTTTCCCCTTTTGTGAACAGAGACAAAAGGTATTTTTAAAAAATATATTTTTACTGATTTTAAAGAGGAAGGGAGAGGGAGAGGGAAATAGAAATATCAATGATGAGAGAGAATCATTGATCAGTGGCCTCCTGCACACCCCCCATGGGGATCAAACCCGCAACCAGGGCATGTGCCCTGAGCAGGAATTGAGCCATGACCTCCCGGTTCATAGATCAATGTTCAACCACTGCCAACTGGATGACAAAAGGTCTTTGATTCAAATATCCTATAAGATTTGAGGCACAGGTTTCTTTTTGGTATAGTATATACTATTGTAGTTGAGGGTTTTCCCCCTAACCCTAAATGTCATTTGTAATATTCTTTGTTTTAGAGAATTTCTAAGCTTTGCACATACGGTCCATTATTAAATTGGATGGGCAGTATTATTTTTGTACATTGCTCTACTTTATCTTATAATAAAGTGGTCTCTATCTCTTTTTAGGATATTTTCTTTTCTGGATGTTGTTACCTTGTGTCGCTGCGCTCAGGTCTCCAGGGTAAGAATGCTTGACATAACTAGAGGGGTACCCCTTCCTGACACTGATAAGAATCGGCTTCTGTAGTAGGGAAACTATTTACTTTTTAGATGTTAGTTGAATGTTGGGTTTCAAAAAATGTTGTTTCACCCATGGCATACCCAAATCTATGTAATTCTACAGTTCTACTACATGTACCGTCTTGACTATTTATAGAATACAAACAGGAAACATTTTCCAGGAAAAAGTATTAAACATACAAATTAAATTGGTCTCTACTGAGAATTGTAATAAAACAGTGTTTCATTATGTTTTCCTAGTTAATTTTACACACACATACACATGGAAGGTTCTTGAGGTCTGATTCGCATGTCACCTCCCCTTGTTTTTCTCTCAAAGGTAATAGCTAGATTTTTTTTTTAAATATATTTTATTGATTTTTTACAGAGAGGAAGGGAGAGAGATAGAGAGAGTTAGAAACATCGATGAGAGAGAAACATCGATCAGCTGCCTCCTGCACATCTCCCACTGGGGATGTGCCCGCAACCCAGGCACATGCCCTTGACCGGAATTGAACCTGGGACCTTTTAGTCCGCAGGCCGACGCTCTATCCACTGAGCCAAACCTGTTTCGGCTAGATTTTTTTAAATTGTAGAGCAAACCAGATTCCATCCTCAAAGTCAGTTTTTACATTATACTTAATTACCCATTTTTGCCAAGTGACTTGCCATGACAAAACAGTGGGACATCATAATCTTATTGGCTGCCACTAATATAAAGAATAGAAACTCTTTTGTGGAAAAACTGCTTTATGAACCATTCCTAGTCTCTATTGTAATACAGATATATAATAATTAACCTAATAAAAGGAGTGTGTACTTAGAATCATCATCTTTTTATAAACTGGACAGTGGTACAATCCTAGGTCCTGGATATGTAATATGCTTATGTCATACCATCCAGTATTGTGTTTATCTTTGTAGGTAGACCTAGGTTTTTCTTCAAATTGTCAACACCACTCTCAAACAAAACACAAAACTTGCCATAGAAAATTCACTTTGTCTTGCTATCTTTAATGTAATTTCTGCATCCTAAAAGCCATACACTAAATCAGTGCATCAGCTATTTTTGAAACAGTCAGTAGTGTTTTGATGATTTATGACATGTTTGTCCCTGGTACTTCAGTGACATGGCTTTTTGTCTCCATATGAATCTGAGGTCATCATTGAGAAACAAAATACTCAGACCAGTGTCTAAACCTGTTTAGTTATTGCATCTAATCTTAGCAATGTTGACTTGAGTGAATTTTAATTGTTTTCACTTGCAGGTTTTTCTTCCCTCTTAATACGTTTTAATTTAAAAGAAGTAAAGCACAATGCCCATTTTCTGTAAATCCGGATAGTTAGTACATCAGTAGTTACCTTATTCTCTGTACTTGAAGTATTTAATTTGTTAAAAACAACAACAACAAGACTCTAGAAGGAAACCTGTCATTCCGAATTTCAGTCTCAGTTTGGCATGTTTCCTATTGCTAGAGAAAGTGTAGTGTAAGGAAATGGGAAATATCAAACCAAATCAGTATATTTAGCCCAAGAATGTAGTAAACATATGAACTTTAAAGGTTTTATCTGTTATCTCCCATAGCTAGCCATTTAAGAAACCATTGGAAAAATATGAAGCTACAAAAAGAAAAGTAACATTGAATTCC